GCCAGGACCCCAGTGCCCCCTACTTTAGGGGGACCAAACAAACCTTGAAGGCTTTTTTTTTTTTTTTTTTTTTTTTTTTTTTTTTTTTTTTTTTTCTGTGTAGCTTTGGGGTTTGTCCCGGAACTTACTCTGTAGACCAAGCCGGCCTTGAACTCACAGAGATCCACCTGCCTCTGCCTCCCAAGTGCTGGGATTAAATGCATGCACCACCACCTCCTGGCCAAACCTGGAATTTTTTGTTAAAGATTTTATTTATTATGTATACAACATTCTGCTTTCATGTATATCTGCACACCAGACGAGGGCACCAGATCTGGTGGTTGCTGGGAATTGAACTCAGGACCTCTGGAAGAGCATCCCAGGCTGCCGTGCACTTCCAGGACCTCTGGAAGAGCAGTCTGTGCTCTTAACCTCTGAGCCATCTCTCCAGCCCCAAACCTGGAATTTTTTAAACCACATTGTCAGCTAGGTCTCCTTGGGCAAGTGACTTAATATCTGTGTGCTTCAGTTTCCCATCTGGGAAATGGGGTTATTGTTGTAATTGGTTTGCTTATTGACATTTAACTGAGTGGATAATAGAGCTACATAATACTTGGAAGGGAACTGAGGCCCGAGAAGTATTTAGGGGTATTTATTGTTGTTGTTATTCTGTTGTTAGCCTGGATTATATGGTTGGCAAGGTCTGGTGTCCCAGCTGTCACTCACCTTGGTCCCTGAGAAACTGGTAACTTTTGGGGTTCTCAGCTCCTGATGCAGGATGGATTACGGCATAGTTTCCTTTAAGCCTGGGACGGCTTGTAAGAGCTCCTGCAAGTCTGATTCCGGGATTTTAAGTGATGGATGCAACTGATTGTTTCTGCATATGTGCCAACAGCTTGAATGCCAAGGTTGAGACTGGGGGTGGGCAGTGGTGCAAATAGGCCTGGAGGTAGCCAGGCATTCAGACCTGTCATGCTGAGCTCTGGGGTTACCTGATACTGGAATTGGGGTCCACTTTCAGGTGCTTCCTGGACCTCAAGGGGCTGGGCTGTGAGGAAGGGGTGGGGTGGTGGAATGGAGACTAGATTCTGTGCAAATTGAAAGTGAAATATGAGGGTGTGGCAGTGTCCAGATGTGTCCAGAGTCCTCAGTCTCCTGGGACAGTGTCTTACAAGTCAACAAGGCAGGCAGTGCCAGGAGTGTAGCTCATTGCAGCCTGCAGGGGCTGGGCGGGGATGGACTGAAGCTGGGATCTGTCTCTGGAGTTTCAGGGCAGGGAGAGAAGGTTGTCCCCACAGTCTCATAGGGATAGGAATGAAATCAGTTCCATTTATTTATTGTTATTATTATTATTTTTGTTTTTCTAGGCAGGGTTTCTCTGTGTAGGTCTGGCTGTCCTGGAACTCACTCTGTAGACCAAGCTGGCATCGAACTCAGGGATCTGACTGCCTCTGCCTCCCAAAGTGCTGGGATTAAAAGGTGTGTGCCACCACCACCTGGCTCTTATTATTTATTTTTATATATTCTCTCACTGTCTAGTCCAGTCTGGCCTCAAACTTGGAGCCAGCTTCCTGTCTCTGCCTCCAGAGTGTTGGGATTGTAATAGGCCTATGCCAAATGGCAAGTACCAGCTTTTTTGCTTGGCCACACCCCATCCAATTAACCCCACCTGCTTCCTCACCTGGCCTGAAGCAATAGGACAGTAGGGAAAGGGCCAGTACAGGTTTGGCCAAACTTTGGAGCCAGCTTTGGGCAATCCAGATGTCTTTATATCTCTGCTCACCTACCCCCCTCCCCCATCCACCTTGAAGTCTTCTGTGGACCCCTCCTGTCTCCTATGCCTCACATTTATGAGATGCCTCTTCCTGGTTGTGGGGCACCCAAGAGTATTATTATTGCATCAAAACATAGCTTCTGAGCCAGGCGGTGGTGGCACACACCTTTAATCCCAGCACTCAGAGGGAGAGGCAGGTGGATTTCTGTGAGTTCGAGACCAGCCTGGTGTCCAAGACAGCCTCCAAAGCCAGAGAAACCCTGTCTCAATCCCCCCTCCAAAAAACAAACAAACAAAAAAACATAGCTTCTGAATATTGGTAGGCACTCTGGGAGTATGAGGCGGGCCAGCCTGTGCCTATTCTATGGAGGAGGAAGCTGAGGCTGATCAGGCCATAATCAGTCAGACTAGGTGGACCCACCTAGGTGGGTCTCTTGAACTTAGCTTAAGTACCTTTGCATCACAGCTGCCCTCTTCCATCCTCCCAGGAGGCAGATGCCACTCACACACGAGGCATATACCTGTCCCTTCCTGTCCTATTTGAACAATGTCAGCCAGCCTATTGTTTATCTATCCCCCAGTGACTGCAAACTGTGCTACGCCCTTGCTGAATTCAGGCCCTGGTATGGGGCTTGGCTCCTGGTTTGAGGGTGGCCCTACCTCACTCTGAGTGAGTGGCATTTGCTGGCGTGTCTCCTGCTCCCTGGATACCCAGTTCCTTGGTGGGTACAGCCACAGCCGGGGAGCAGCTGCTAATGAGTGCTCAGCGCTGTCAGAGCTATTTCTGATTTCGGAGCCTAAATTTAGATTGTCTGGCAGGCTGGCACGTGGGCCTGGGCCAGAAGAGTCCCAGGTAGGGAAGGGGTAAAGGGGCACCCTACCGTCTGCCATTGTTGAGACAGGTACACCAGGCAGCCCCACACAGAGTGTCTGTCACTAGCACTAACCTTGGAGTGGCTCTGCGGGTATGAACCAGGGCTGTGGCTCAAAGCCAGTCAGCCCCCCCCCCCCTGCTGGTTTTATAAGGTAACCTTCGGCAGATCACTGAATTAATTTGTGCTTGCATCTGTGAGATGGGCCTGTTAACGGTGCCAATGATGGTGGTCAGGATAAGAGGAGGTCAGTGTCTGGCATGAAATGCATTTAGGTGAGGATGGTTTTGTTGTTTTGTTTTTTGAAACAGGGTTTCTCTGCGTTGTTTTGGATGCTGTCCTGGAACTCGCTCTGTAGACCAGGCTGGTCTTGAATTCACAGAGATCCACCTGCATCTGCCTTCCGAGTGCTGGGATTAAAGGTGTGTGCCGCCGCCGCCTGGCAAGGCTAGTTTTTTAACCCGTCTATTAGGGTTGTTACTGAAATTAAAATTACTGCTGGGTGTTAGTGGTGCAGGCCTTTAATCCCAGCACCTGGAAGGCAGAGGCAGGCAAATCTCTGTGAGTTTGAAGCCAGTCTTGTCTACAGACTGAGTTCCAGGACATAGTGAAACCCTATCTTGAAAAAAACAAATAAAAAAATTAATACTACCGAACCATTCTAGAGCCAAAAAGTAGAGTCTCCAAGGTAAGTGAGACCTCAGACATCCCCCATGAGAGAGGCTGTCTTCCTCTAAGGCTCAGAAGCCTGGGCTTAGCATCCTCCTCATCTCCCTCCTCTACACTGGCCCCAGCTCCAGGGTCCTGGCAGGCCTGACTCCCACTTCCTCTTTCTCCTGCCTTGCTGCACCTCAGCCCCACCCCTAGCTCTGTCTCTGTTGGGTGGGGATAAATCAGACAGACAAGAGGAAAAGTGGCTTCCTAGCCCCCCTGGAATAGAGTAGGCCCCGCCCCACAGCCTTCAGACCCCTTTGGAAAGACTGTCATGAAGCAGGAGCTGGCCTGGCACAGTTTCCCCAGTCCAGGCTCACTTTCGCAATGGGGACAGGGATGACGTACCTCAGTCCGTGGCTGGCTTTGGAGTATGGTGGGTGGGCAGTTTCACCTCACAAATAGGGCCCCAGCCGGAAAACTTAGCCAACGGGGGCTGATAATACCCAGCTTCCTGTTCTCTGAGGATGAGTCAAGGCAGTGATTTTGGGGTAAGGTCTGGCCAGAGCCCCAGACCTAACCCTGTCACCCAAGAGAGGAAGCTAGTTGAAGAGTCTGGAGTGGGTGTGGCTCTGTCTCTGCTCCAGCTCTGGCCTCTTCTCAGAGCCAAGGGTCAGAGAGTCTAGCCTGAACTACCAGAGTGGGTGGCAGACAACTCCCAGACTTTGGGCTAGGCTCCTTAGGGGGTTACCATATCCCCAGTAGAGATCTAGACTAAACTGGGGACTCCATGAGGGTAAGAACTGGCATTGGGGGACCGACATATAGTTAGGTTCTCCTTAAAATTGAGGTTTCCTGGATTAGAGTGAACTGGCCTTGTTTTCTAGGTCTGTTGGGCAGACTTGCTTGTCCTAGGGGACATGGAGACCCCTGCTTTTGGCAACATTGATCTAAACCCATAGTCCAGGCTGAACTGTACTTCTCATCTGATCTGTGGTGACAAGAACGTGCAGCTAGGGGGAGGGGACCTGGAGATTTATCTCAGATCCTGGGGGTGTGTGGGAGAGTCCCAGCCTGGGCCACCAGAACCACAGGCCCAGTGTTCTGCCTATTCTGTGGTGGAAGGACCTTCCATCCTTCAAATCCCCCCACCTCTGCCGCTGTGACACATCTTTCTGGAACTCCCTGGTGGCTGACACACTGCTCTAAGGCCCTTCAACCCTAGTGACCTGGACCTAGTCTGTGCACACAAGGTGTCTGATGACATGTGGGAATAAGACCCTGCTGCCAGGTCCTAGCTGGGCCTGTCTGGAGATGGCTTCCCCGTTGGCTCCTCACTTCAGTGGGGGGCAGAGATCAGGTCTCCTTAGCTCCAGTGAGTAAAATGGAGCCTAGAGGTGTTGGAGGTCCCTGATGAATGCGCACACTTGCCTCATGCTAGCTGTGCTAGGAAGGTGATGTGGATGGTGGCAGGGTCTAGTCAGACTTGGATTCAGAACCCTCCTCTCGCCCCGTCCCTTTCTAGCTCAGGCCCTGGGCCTCGGGGAAGGTGGCCTACCTCCTGGGGCCTCGATTTTCTCCCTGGACAACACTGCTGGTCTGTTAGGACAAGAGGTTGCTCACCTCTGAGGGAGCCCTGTGGATTCCCTGGAGATGCGTGTCCTCTCCTTCTTGGTTATGGGGGAGTCCTGGACTCAGGGGCCTTTGTCTTTCACCTCCCCCAGAACTGTATGAACTTGCCTCCAGACAAGGTCCAGCTGCTGAGCCAGTATGACAATGAGAAGAAATGGGAACTCATCTGTGACCAGGTGTGTATCCCGGGAAGGCTCACCTGCCCCTGCCTCTGTTCTTAGGGCACCCTGCTCTGAGGTGCAGGAGCAGGCAGGAGGGGGACCCGCCATGCTGCCCAGGGGATAATACCTACCAAGTCACTGGGGGCCATTGTAGGACTCTGTCCTCCCTTGAAAGACCTGATCAGCGACCTTAGGGGTCATCAGCAGAGCGTTTCCTAGCGAACTGGCCGTGGCTGCTCTCCATGCTTTGCACCACTGGGGGCCGAGCTCAGGGCCTCATGCATGCTACGCCAGCAGTCTACCACTATGTCCATAACACTTGGGTTTCTGTTTTTTTTTTTTGTTTGTTTGTTTGTTTTTTGTTTTTTGTTTTTTCCTTCGAGACAGGGTTTCTCTGTGTAGCTTTGGAGGCTATCCTGGCAATCGCTCTGGAGATCAGGCTGGCCTCGAACTCACAGAGACCCCCCCGCCTCTGCCTCCCCAGTCCTGGGATTAAAGGCATGCGCCACCAACGCCTGGCCTGGGTTTCTGTTTTTGAAACCCAGTCTTGCTAAACAGCTCAGGCTGGCTTCAAAGTCATGTTCCTTCTACCTTAGCTTCCAGAGTACTGGGATTATGTATAGGTGTGGGTCTCCATGCCCAGTGGCTTGACTCTCCTACCCTGAGCAATAAAGGAGACAATACCCCTGGGTTTAGCCAACTGGAGTGGGAAGAAGAGCAGTGACAACTGTCTTTTTCTTCTGAGACCAGAGGAGACAGTCAAGCAGCCATCTCCAAGAGCAGTTAGTTCAGACTGCTGGCTGGGCCCTGAGTTCCCTGGGCTGCCTCATCCCTCTGGCTGCTGGAGGCCCAGAGTACTCTTCCCTTGAGCAGGGGTGGAATAGGGTGGGCTGGTTGTGGCAGGGTCAGCCAGAAAAATAGCGGCCTGGAGGCTAGAGGTGGGTAAGGATTTGGAGGGAAGAACTCCCTCTGGGACCCAGCAAAGCCTTCCACTAATGGACTGGGTTGGGACGTACCAGCTGGGCATCCATCTTGGTAAGGCTGGGCCATGGCAAAATAGGGAGTGTCCTAGAGCCTCTGGAGCTGCAGTAGTTGTCCCCGATGAAGGGCTCTGCCTGGATTCTCAGAGGTTAGGCTCAAAGTCTTCAGAGTAGGAGGTAGGAGAGGGTGTCTGAGCACACCTGAGGGCTTTGAGCTGGGAAGGCTAGGAGCTTTGGGGTGGGGATATGTCTTGCTGTGGTTCCTGCCTCTGTGTGAGGGACTGTAGCAGTGGAATACAGGGAAAGAGCACACACAGGTACCTGCAGAGGGACAGGACACCTGTCCTGGAGATGGGCTATCTACTTGCCAGGGAGCTGGCTTCTGCCTGAACTTCCCACTCCAGTCCAGGAAGGGCAAGACAGGCCTGAATGAATAACCCAAGGCAAGGCCTGTGGCAGGACTGGCCTCTAGTCCACAGGCCCCAGGAGAGGCACAAACCAGGCCCGAGGCTAGGGTCTTCCATATGTTTGTACTTCTGGTATTGCAGAAGTGGTTTAAGACAGCCTGAAACCCAAGTCTGAGCTGAGAAGGAGGCATTGGGAGGAAAACTATCCAGTGGTTTTCGGACCAACTCTCTGTACACTCCATCCATCTCCCCAGGAGCGGTTTCAAGTCAAGAATCCCCCTGCAGCCTACATTCAGAAGCTGAAGAGCTACCTGGATACTGGTGGGGTCAGCCGAAAGGTAGCAGCTGATTGGATGTCCAATCTGGGGGTACATATCTCCCTTTCTATCCTGTTCCCTCTAAACAGCTGCAACGGTCATGTGTATCTTTTTTTTTTTTTTTGTGGCCTTGTATGAGTGCATGTATAAGTGTGCATGTGTAATTTAATTATAGGGGACTGAATCCCCCAGGCAGGCGCTCTCATAGACTCACGTATCTATCTTACATGTACTTACACGGGCATTCCTGTGTGTATTTGTATTGCATGTGTACCCTGTATATTCCTACATAGATATATGTATGTGATAGATGTGTGCACTTTGGGGTTTGTAGGTATATTTGTTCTCATGTGTATCCCTGAGCCCATGTATAGGAGGAGAGAGAGAGGGGGGCGAATGAATGAATATGTGTGTACCCATACATAAACAAATGGATAAGCACCCTATGTGTTCATATCCAGGTTCTCCTGGGTGGATGTGCATGCTTGTGTTTGTTGTGCCTGTGTCCCGTGTGTTTGTGCAGAGATGTGCGTGTGCGTGTGTATGCTGTATCACTGTATGGAGGTATGTCTGTGCACCCAGTATCTTCACTCGTGTGTGGATATGCCCTCCATGTTGGAGGGGAGGCATGTAGTCCCTGAGTGCTCATCCTGCTGGGCAGGCGTGTAGAGGTGGCGGGGGAGGCTAAACGTGAAAGGCCTTGAACACATGGTGGGGGTGGTACTTCTGGCTGCTGTCTCAGGACTGTGGGAGTCCGGGCTCCACCCACAGATCTTGTTTTTGGCCCCCAGTTTAAGAGGCGAGTTCAGGAGTCTACACAGGTGCTACGGGAGCTGGAGACTTCCCTGAGGACAAACCACATCGGGTGAGTTTAGGAAGACTCCGCCTCCTGGGAGCCTCTGGGGCTTTCCAGCCCCTCCATCACAGGCTAGGCCTATGGGACCATTTCCTTCATTCCCCTGCTGCCTGTGCCAGACTTCTGCACACAGCGGGCTGCCTGCGGGTCCTGCCTGGGCCCTCAGCATTCTCTGGTATCCCTGAGTCTCTTGAGGGTGGGGGATGGTGTCATATGAGTTCTGGGGCAAGCGCACTCAAGGGCTTTTGCTTTGTGTGCTTGTTGCTCACTTGGGCAGAACTCTTTCTGGCTGTAACTCGTTGAACCTTGTCCTCTGCAGGTGGGTGCAGGAGTTCCTCAATGAAGAGAACCGTGGTCTGGATGTCCTGCTGGAGTACCTGGCCTTTGCCCAATGCTCTGTGGCGTAAGCTCCTGCCCCTAACCCTCAGTCTGCCCCTCAGAGTCCTGATCACACATTCCCAGGCCTCAGCTACCCCTCTGAACAGGAGCTGATCTCTTGCCCTGTCCTGGGAGCATTGGACCTAGCCCTGGGCAATGGTTCTTCAGAAGGCCTGTCCTTACCCAGGAGGGACATTCCTTCTCCCTTTTCTGTGCTCTGCATAGAGCCATGGATGAGCCAGGCTGTGGTGGTTCAGATCTCTAATCCCAGCCTTTGGGAGACAGAGACAGTCAGATCACTGTGAGTTCTGGCTAGCCTGGTCTACAGAGTGAGAGGCTGTCTCAAAAATAAAACCAAAACCAAACAAAACATGAGAGCCATGAATGAACATAGCCTTCTCCTCCTGCCTCAGTCTCTCTTGCAAACCCTCCTTGCCTTGCATGTCCCTCTGTCCCCTGTTTAAGTGTCCCTTGTAGTAGAAACATCCAAGCTCCTTCGGTCGCATCTCCAGGTATGACATGGAGAGCACAGACAATGTGGCCGCTAGTGCAGAGAAGAGCAAGCCTCTGGAACAGTCTGTGGAAGACCTCACCAAGGCACCACCCTCATCTGTGCCCAAAAGTCGCCTGACCATCAAGTACGCGGGGCCCTAGATGGGATGATGGGAGAGTAGAGAACAGAGCCACACACTGCCACATCTAATCAGGACCCTGAGGGTTGGAGGGAGGTGTAGTTCAGCATGGGGGAACCAGAGTCTTGACTTTTGGACACAAATGTATTAAGTCTTCAGGTGGAGGCATCTAGAAACTAGAATCTGAGGAGGACTGGAATAAGGAGGGGGGTTTGGGGTGGGTAGGATCCCTTTTGTATCCATCTAACCCCTTGTTTCTTCCTATGCGGCCTCCAGGTGCCCCCCTTCTCCCCGGTACGTAGTCACCTGGGGGCAGGTGCATGCTGGGCCGATTCCGTGGGGTGGTGGGTTGGAAGACTCAGCTGACACCCTGAGTTCAGCGCTGTAGATTGGTTTCCTCATCTTGACACGGACATTCTGCCGTCGTGTTAGGATTCGGGAAGGGGGAAGGAGATGACCCTGGAGCATCAGCTTCCTGTATTGGGTCTGAGGGACCACATATATGTTATTTATTTATTTGTGTGTGTGTGTGTGGGGGGGGGTCAGTGTAAGGGCATGTGTGTGTGTCAGTGCTAAGCATGGCTTTTATATGGATGTTGGGGATTTGAACTCAGGTCATCTTGCTTCACAGCAAGTGATCTTACCAACTAGCCATCTCCACAGCCCATTACATACATACACGTGAACACACACACACACACACACACACACACACACACACACACACATCTTACCAACTAGCCATCTCCACAGCCCATTATACAATTATATACATACATGTGTGCACACACACACAGAGACACACACAGACACACAGACACAGACACAGACACAGACACACACAGACACAGACACACACACACACACACACACACACACACACACAGAGACACACACACACAGACAGACACAGACACACACATACACAGAGGAGCCACACTACCAGCCTGGACCAACTGTGTATTAAGCACCAAGATTTCACCAAGTGTGTTTTTTTTTTCCTTCATTCACTCACTTAACAGTTTTTAAGACACTTATGAAATACACTTCCAAAATAGCACATATTAGTGGTAAGTGCCCGCAAGACCGTTCATTCTGCTTTTGGGGGCCACTGTCTAGTGGAAGACTGTTTAGTGTGGTGTATAATCACAGAGATTCGGTGTGGTGCAAAACCATGGAGCTATGACCTGGACCTCTGAGAAGGGAGGTGCCCATTGCGTTCGGGTACAGGGAAGATTTTCAGAAGAGGCCACACTGGAACAGTATCTAACAGATGGGGGAGGGCAGCATGAACAAAGACTGAGACACATTTGAGCAATGATAGGAAAGCTTGGTGTGGCAAGCAGCGGCAGGGAGGACTCCAATGAAGACCTGTGGAAGAAGCTACAGAGCTGTCAAGAGGATCAATGTGTGGAAGACATGGTTGGTGGTTCTATAAAAATGAAAACCTAGCTCTTTTTTTCTTTTTTGTCCAAGAATACTAGAGAGTGCACTCAGTGGACTCCTTATGAGGTGCCAGGCTGAAGCTTATTACATAATGCCAACAAGCCTGTGAGGAAGGTGTTAGTGAGGCCAAGGAGACGGCTCAGTTGGTAAAATGTTTGCCTTGTAACATGAAGGCCTGACACCCCTGGAAAAAGTTGGGTATGTGCTTGTAGTGCCAGCACTGGAGAGGCAGAGACAAGAGGATCCCTGGGGCTCAGTGGCCAGACAGCCTGGCTAATTGGCAAGCACCATGTCCCTGTGAGAGGCCCTGTCTCAAAAGAACAAAGTAGGGGCTGGGGACACGACTCAGTGGGTACAGTGCTTCCCCACAAGCAGGTGGGCCAGAGTTTGGATTTCCAGCATCCATGTGAAACATGGCGCCTGTGTTCTCAGTGCTGGGAGACAGACAGGAGGCCCACTGGAGCTTGCTGGCCTGCCAGTCTAGTGGACACAGAGCATCTGAATTTAATAAGACACGGGTCTCAAAAACAAGTAAAGACTGATCAAGGAAAATATATGAAATCAGCCTCTGGCCTTCACATGCACACTGAGTGCACACACATATATGCAAGTGTGCAAGCACACACCACACACACACACACCAACAAACAAGGTGGAAAGCTTCTGAAGAATGATACTCAAACTTGATGGGTCTGCACGCCTGCGTGTGCACACACACACAAGTACACACAGATGCACACACACACATGCACACACACGCACACACGCGTACACACAAGGTATCTACTATTGCTGGGTATGGTGGTATAAACCTGTGTAGGAGGCCAGCCTGGTCTTCATGAGACCTTGTCTCATTCCCCCTGCATCCTCCAGTATGGTACTAATGCTGCCATTCCTTTTACAAATGAGGAAAGGGAGATTAAATGCTTCTCCACTAAGTAGCAAGCTGGAATGTTCTTGAATCTAGGCACTTGGCGTTTAGTCTGCCTCTCAAGATGGAAGATGAGTCTAAGTGGTTGTAAGCGCCACCTTGTGGAGACATTTCTGGTGTCTAACTACTTCCAAGCTTTGTCTTTGGTGGGCTTTCCATTCACACCACAGCTCTACTCCCTCCCTCTCTTTCCCTACATTCTCTCTCCCTTTTCTATATTCTCCCCCCTCCCTTCTTTGTTTTTTTGAGACCGGCTCTCATGTAACCTAGGCTAGCCTCAAACTCTCTACTATGTAGCCAAAGCTGGTCTAGAACTCCAATCCTCATGTCCTTATTTCCCAAATACTGGAATTACAGGCACATGCCACCATGCCTGGCTCACAGCAGCCCTTTTGAAAAACCAAGTCTTTGTAAAGGCCTTTGCTTCCTTTCCCTCCCTTGCCACCTCCGTGCAGCATGCCAGCCCCTGAGAAAGAATGCCCACCTTCAGCTGGCCCACTGGGTTGGGTAGATAGGGAACAGTGGCTTAGAGTTCCAGATATGCCCCCTCACTCCAGAGGACATTTTACTGGCATGGGGAGCAGGAAGCTTGGGATTGAGGCTCTGACCCTGCTGCCTCTTCTGCCATACCCACCAGGCTGACACCAGCCCACAGCAGGAAGACCCTGAGGAATTCCCGAATCGTCAGCCAAAAGGATGACGTCCACGTGTGCATCATGTGTCTGCGGGCCATCATGAACTACCAGGTCAGCTGGTGGCATGGAACTGGGGTCTCAGGGAGCCGGCTTGTCCCCATGGGGCCGCACAAGCTGCTGATGTTCTAAGACCAAGTGTCAGTCTCCCCTGAAACCCCACCTGGGAAGTGAAGGAGAAGGCTTGTAGATTCAAGATACCTTTATTCAGATAAATACCAGCCAAACACAAGCCAGAACGTGCCCAGGGGCAGCAAGGCAGGGAGACCAGAGAGAAGGGGCAGCTGAAGGGGAAGAGAGTGTTCCATGTGCTCGAGGTTGCTTAAGAGCCCATGCCGAGTCACTCTGATCTCTCCTTGACAGGCGTGGTCAGGCACACCTGTAGCCAGCCCTTAGGAAGCATGGTTATGGTGTCTCCCTACAGGGAAGCCCGGGGGTCTGGGCTGTGGTGTGGGGCCCCGAGGATGATGCTTTGTGGGGAAGTGGCCTTGGGTGTGATTGGGGGAAAGCAGGGGCCTCAGATGGAGATCAAGGTGGTTTGGGTAGCGGAGTCTATGGCTTGGCTATGGCATTGGGAGGTTGCTGCAGTGTGTGAGGCTTCACTGCTTTGCTTCAACAGCCTGCAGGTGTGTCCAGCCTGTGGCCTGTGGGTCACATGCAGCTGAAAGCTCAGTCCAACACAAAGCTGTAAACATTCTTAAAACATTATGAGATTTTTATGTGTGTGGTTTTGTTTTCTTCCCCAGAGATAGCATCTCACTGTATAGTCTTTGCTGTCCTGAAATTTGCTCTGTAGACCAGGATGGCCTTGAACTCACAGAGATCTGCCTGCCTCTGCCTCCTGAGTGCTGGGAATAAAGTCTGTATGTGTGGTTTAAAAAAAAAAAAAACTATTTCATGTTTGTCCAGCATGTATATGTCTGTACGTCAAAAGGACATGCCTGTAAGGCTATATCCAGGGTGTCTGACACTGACTTTTGAAAACATAAATAACAGTGGTGACACACGTCTTTAATCCCAGCACTTGGGAGGCAGAGGCAGGTGGATCTCCATGAGTTTGAAGCCAGCCTGGTCTACAGAGTGACTAGGGCTACACAGAGAAACCCTGTCTTATAGACCAAAACAAACAAACAACAAATGAATGAATAAATAAATGGGCCTGGCTTTTTTGTTTGTTTGTTTTGTTTTTCAAGACAGGATTTCTCTGTATAGCTTTTGGAGCCTGTCTTGGAACTTGTTCTGTAGAACAGGCTGGCCTTGAACTCACAGAGGTCTACCTGCCTCTGTCTCCTGAGTGCTGGGGTTAAAGGCATACACCACTGCCCACCTGGGCCTAACTTCTTTTTTTTTTTTTAAAGATTTCATTTATTTATTATGTATACAACATTCTGCTTCCATGTATATCTGCACACCAGAAGAGGGTGCCAGATCTCAAATGGACGGTTGTGAGCCACCATGTGGTTGCTGGGAATTGAAGTCAGGACCTCTGGAAGAGAAGTCAATGCTCTTAACCTCTGAGCCATCTCTCTAGCCCCTGGGCCTGACTTCTTAAAGTAGAGTTTATGGTTGGGTATGAAGGACTTGGAGCATTATAGGCCAGGACAGCATGGCCCAGACTATGCTGTGGGTGTTGGCAATCTTGGGGACCCACCTGGAGATGCTAACCTCTCCTGTCTTCCCAGTCTGGCTTCAGCCTTGTTATGAACCACCCAGCCTGTGTCAATGAGATCGCTCTAAGCCTTAACAACAAGAACCCCAGGTGAGGTCTATACTCCTAACTGGTTTCTTGCTTCTGCCCTTGCAAACTCTGTCCCTTATCCTCAGGACTGCTGCCCAGGCACACCCCACCCCAGCTCCCCTGTCCTCTAGCCAGACCCATGCCATCCATGCTGTGGGGACCAGCCTCCCTCTTCTCTTTCCAGAACCAAGGCTCTGGTGCTGGAGCTGCTGGCAGCTGTGTGCCTGGTGCGGGGAGGACATGACATCATTCTTGCAGCTTTTGACAACTTTAAGGAGGTACTGGATCCACTATCCCAAACCTACTTGCCCTCTGGTACTCCTTGGAATCTGGTTGCCAGAAATTGTGGCCTCTGATAGCACATCTGAGTGCTAGGATAATAGGTGTATGCCACCATGCCCAGCCAGTCAACCAATCTCTACAGCTAGATGAGTTCAACATGATGGTACAGGGCTGTATCCCAGAGCCAGAAGGAGTAGGACTTCAAGATTATCATTGGCTACATAATGAGTTCAAGACCAGCCTCTAGGCTCCAAAACTAAAAACCCCAAACTTATTCCAAAACAAAACCAACCCAACATAGACCCTGTCTCAAAAAAAAAAAAAAAAAAAAAAAAAAAAAAAAAGAAAGGAAGAAAGAAAAGAAAGAAAAAGAAAGGGCCTGGGTGGATGTCTTCATACATTCTTTCATGAATGTTTACTGAGTCTGACTATGTGGCAGGCACAGAATCAGAGTCAGGCCATTAGGATTGAGTGAGCAGAAGAAATGAAAAGGCATGAGAGGGCTGGGGTAATAGTAATCATTCAATAAAGTACTTACTTTGCCAGAGTGAGTGTAGGGAGACACCATAACCACGCCTCCTAAGGGCTGGCTACAGGTGTGCCTGACCATGCCTGTCAGGGCGTGGTCAAGATGACGAGTGTTAGGTTCTATTTTTTTTAAAGATTTTATTTATTTATTATGTATACAGCCTATACAATCTTCTGCCTGCATGCCAGCAGAGGGCACCAGATCCCATTCAAAGTGGTTGTGAGCCACCATGTGGTTGCTGGGAATTGAACTCAGGACTTCTGGAAGAACAGTCAGTGCTCTTAACCGCTGAGCCATCTCTCCAGCCCCGAGTGTTAGGTTCTTAAGGGGCTGCAGACATGTGGGGGCCCCCTTCTCTCTGGCCTCCCTGCCTTGCTGCCTCTGGGCCACACTCTGGCTTGCATTTGGCTGGTATTTATCTGAATAAAGGTATCTTGAATCTACAAGCCTTCTCCTTCACATGAGGACCTGAATCCCGGAGCCCACACACACAAAAGCCAGGTTTGTCAGGCATGGTGGCACACCTTTAATCCTAGCACTCCAGAGGCAGAGGCAAGTGGATCTTTATGAGCACCAGGCCATCCATGGCTACATAGTGAGACCACATTGCAAAAACATAAAATCTCAGGGGCTGGAGAGATGGCTCAGTGGTTAAGGGCAACCTACAGCTGTCCACAACTCCAGTTCCAGGGGATCTGATATCCTTTTCTGACCTCTGTAGGCACCAGGCATGCTTGCATATACATGCCAGCAAACACTCAATAAAATAAAAATAAATAAATCTTAAAAGAAATAGAGTTTGGTGGCTTGTGATTGTAACTCCATTCCTGAAGAGGCAGAGATAGGCAGTTCTCTGGAGCTCAGTGGTAGCCAGCCTAGCTGCTTTGTGAGCACTGGACCACTGAGACACCCTGTCTCCAAAACACGGTATGAGGCTGGAGAGATGGCTCAGTGGACCTGGGAGGTTTACAAAGGCCACATTTAGATGAAATTTGGAGAGGCACCTGTAGGGGCACAAGGATGGTGGCTGAAAGATGGCACAGGAGATGTGTGACCCATTATTTAGTGACTTCCACTCGCCATCTGCAGGTGTGTGGGGAGCAGCACCGCTTTGAAAAGCTGATGGAGTATTTCCGGAATGAAGACAGCAACATTGACTTCATGGTGAGCTTGGAGCTCTGGGGCTGAGGATTGGCTGGGCCTTGTTGTATGCTGGGAGCAGCTAAGGAACTGGGTAGCTGGGCTCAGGGTTTTGCTCCAGCAAAGTGTAAGGACTGAGTTGTATCAGTGGGACAGGGTGGATGTCAGGGGAGTAAGGACTGCACTAAGGGGGCCTGAAGGTTACAGGTTAGTGGAATGCCAGCTGTAGAGAGGGGGGAAGCTTGGTGACAAATAGGAAGTGGAAGAGAGCAGCACTGGTGTTCCTGGCCCCCAGGTGGCTTGCATGCAATTCATCAACATTGTGGTACACTCAGTGGAGAACATGAACTTCCGTGTCTTCTTGCAATATGAATTCACTCACCTGGGTCTGGACCTGTACTTGGAGGTGAGCCCTGCACCCCACCCCTAGCCCCCTGGCTGAACTGCCCCCACCCATTGTGGAGTATGTAGTTATGGATGTAGTATGTAATTAGCAGGTTTTGAGTTCAAATCCTGGCTCTGAGAGCTGAGTTTGGTGATCCATGCCAGCAATCATATCACTTGGGAAGCCAAGGTAGAAGGGTCTCAAGTTCAAGTTCAGTCTGGGCTTCACTCCTTCCCTCTCCCCAAAATGATAAAAACCTACAAATAAGACAGAATCCTACCTCTGCCACTTTTTAGCTGTGTGACCTTGCACGGATCTATTCATCCTGTCTTTCTGTCAATCACAGAGGTGATAAAGACTGAGCATCAGCTCAGTCAGGTGCCCTGACTCCAGCACATGATGGGAGGCCCAGAGATACTGGGCAGAAGGGGCGGGGGGAGGAGGGCTGCCTCAGGTTGAGTCTGGGTCTTGGGAAGAGGGAACAGAGGAATGGTGAGCGGAGAAGCCACAGCTTTTGATCTGATTCCTTTGGGAGGCTTTCTAGAGGGCCTTTGGGATTGGATTTCCTAAAGCTAGAACTGGAAACAGCAAGAGGAGGCAAGGCTAGTCTAGCCACACAGTAGAACAAGGGGTGTCATCAGACACAAACGTCAGCATGGCTGAGCTTTCAAAGAAGAGAGAAGCCAGGTGCGAAAGGCTGAACATTGGGCTGGAAAGACGGCTTGCTGATTAAGAGCACTCTACTCTTGCAGAGGACCCAGGACCCTCTGTGGTTCCCAGCACCCAGGGCAGGTGGTTCATAATCTCCTGGGGGGGGGGTGCGCTCTTCTGGTCTCTGAGAACACCTGAACTCACGTGGCTTCCATAAGCTCTCACAGGGACACACATACATACAGAAACATCTGAATATTAGATATGAGTTTTAAAAATAAATATCCAGAATGGCTAAATCCATAGAGGCAGAAAGAAGATTCATGGCTGCCAGAGGGCTGGGGAGGAGAAAATGGAAAAGAAACCCTAGCTGGCATAGGGTTTCCGTCTGGGGTACTGACCTTTCAGAAAACAGGCAACACATCTTAAAATAGTGAATTGTGTGGTATGTGAATTATATCAATAAAAATAAAAAGCAAACTAGAGCCCAAGAACCTTCGTCTGGGTCCTAGTAGTGGTTGGATAGACACCCCCACCACCACCTCAGCCCTCACCATGCTCCTGCTGTCTGGGGACAGAGGCTCCGGCTGACAGAGAGTGACAAGCTGCAGGTGCAGATCCAGGCGTACCTGGACAACGTTTTTGATGTGGGAGCCCTGCTGGAGGACACAGAGACTAAGAATGCAGTGCTGGAGCACATGGAGGAGCTGCAGGAGCAAGTAGCACTGGTGAGAGCTGGTCCCAACCTAGTCTATTGCATAGTAGGCCTACAGGAAGGCTACCTCGGGGCGCCTCTTGTACAGCAAGCCCTGAATGGAAGACATAGTTCTGGGTGTAGATTGGAGGCGGCAGTCTGCCTGGGCTCTGAGTTTGCTCTCGATCCAAATCCGGAGTCCTTTTGGTGTCTTTCTCAATGAGTCTTCAGGGAGCGCCCACGCTGTGTGGGACGTGTGCGCAAGGCAGGCACCTCCCCCCTGCGCAGATTCCAAACCCGGACTCCAGTGAGCTAGATCCTGGGGCCCCTCTCAGCACAATCTTCTCCCCTACTGCCTTTCTTCGCACTGGTGCCTTGGTTTCCCCTCTTCATTTATTTGGGTTCAGGTGCCAGGCACGGCCCACCCTTGGCACGCGGGGCCAAGCGGATGTGGGAGCCACCCCCAGTCCTCCAGGCAGGCTTGCCTGATGCCGCCCCCTCACCGGCGGTGCCAGTGCCTGGCCGCGGGTGGTAGCTCACCATGTGCTGGTGCCACAGCTGACAGAGAGGCTTCGGGACGCAGAGAACGACTCCATGGCCAAGATCGCTGAACTGGAGAAGCAGCTGAGCCAGGCCCGCAAGGAATTGGAGACCCTGAGGGTGAGCTGTGGGTGTGGGCCGGGCCAGGCTTCCCAAGGAGCCTTCTCCGCTTGACCTCCCAGGCTATCCCAGAAGGGGATTGGGGCGGGGTTGCTCTGTGCCAGAGAGCTTGCCGGTGGGCGCTAATCCCTCTACTGGGGCTCGCAGGAGCGTTTCAGCGAGTCGACCCCCATGGGCACGGCCAGACGAATCCCTGAGCCTGAGAAAGTGCCGGCCCCCACCATGGTGCGACCCTCAGCTCTAGAGCTAAAAGTGGAGGAGCTTGAGGAAAAGGGGTTAATCCGAATCCTGCGGGGGCCCGGGGATGTTGTCTCCATCGAGATCCTCCCAGGAGCGGTGGCGACACCAAGTGGCGACAATGCAGCAACTCCGGGGGTACCCACAGACTCTCCTAGCCCAGGTGAGCAGTTGCTTCATGCTTGGGGAGAGACCAGGGCAGTGAAGGTATCTCGGGGATATACCTGGCTGTGAAAGATGAGGTTTGGGTTGTGGGCGTGTCACAGGTACACGCAGGTGGGTTGAAATGGGTTCTGGATGCATGTTTTGGGCAGGGAGGTGGCAAGGAACTCCCTCCCCAAGCCAAGAAGTTGATGGTTCCTCCCATGTCCTCCCTGGGCTCACATCTCCCACCTGCAGCAGAGTCGGTGCCCGGGGCAGCAGCCCCCCCGCCGCCGCCGCCCCCGCCACCGCCACCCCCCCCT